AATCCCCTCTACAGCATCACTCACAAGTGAGTTATACTGCCTTTGCCTAGAGTCTAGTGAGGGTGAATCCATCCTCTCTTGTATACTTTTGGATAGCTCTAATTGTTGTGAAGCTTCTTCATTACATTAAACCTAAATACACCTGTCTGAACTCGAACTCATTTGCTACTAGTTTTCCCCCTCTAGAACCAAACAGAACAAATCTAATCTCTCTGCCTTTCAAGTATTTAAATACTACTGTTATGTCCTCAATTCTCTGCACTAAACAGGTCCATTTTCTTCATCTGATGCTTATGACATGGTTTAAGTTCCTTATCCCACTTTCTACAAGAAACCTTGCTCAATCTCTCTTAATTCTAGTGCCTTCCTTTTGCTGATTATTTCCAATTTATCCTGTATATAGCTTGTTTGTACATAGCTATTTACATATTGTCTTTCTTGTTAAACTATGACCTCTGAGATCAAGGACTGGCTTTTGCCTTTCTTTGTATACCCAGCATTAACACAGTGCTTGGTGCTTAATAAATGTTTATTAACTGACTGATTCCTGATTCCCTTTCTCTGAAAGCACTGTCATTTGTCATTGTCCTGAAACATGGTGACCAGGACAGAGGTCAGTGAAACTGTCACCTCCCTCTTCCAGGATTTTGACTCTTCTCACTTTATGAATTAGATTCTTTGGCTTCCATGTCACATTACTGGCACATACTGAACCTATATTCCTCTAAAACCTCCAGATATTTTTCACATGAACTTTTTGCTGGCCATGGTTTTTATATCCCTTTTCTATCCCTTTATATTCCTTGTTGATTTTTTTGGTACCAAGTAAGGGATGTTACGTTTATATTATTAGATTCCATCTATTAGATTAAGCACATTGTGATCAGTTGAAATCTTTTCAGATCTTGATTCTGTCATCCAACTTAAGGATGATTTTTCAGCTTCATGGTTTCTGCAGATTTGATACATTTTCTCTATGCCTTTATCCAAATCATTGATAAAAATGTTCTGAAAAGCAGCTGGCCAAGGACAATTCCCTAGGGTAATTTCCTACATACTTCCAAGTCATTTAACTAGTTCAAATTCCAACTAAGATTTCCATCATCTCTTTTACATGTTTCCATCTTGTTCACAAGAATAGCATGAAAGTCTGTCAAATGCTTTGCTAAAATTTAGGTTTACTATGTCCTGATCACTTTTCTAGTAACCCTTAACATCAAATGAGGTTAGGGTGGCTTGATCTGTTCTTGATAAGACCCTGCTTCTTCTTTTAGATGTTTAACATCTATCTCTTTAGTTTTACTAGAAATTGAAGTCAAGCTTATTGAAGATAAATTCAGTGACTCCATCCTCTTCCCTTTTGGAAATCAGCACATGTGTGCTGCGTTGCTCTAACATCTTTCATAGAGTTCACTGAAATTGCTCAGCAATCATATCAACAGTTCTTTCAGTGCACAGGGATGTGACTCATCCAGAACTGACAACCTGAACTCTTTGAGAGCAGCCAGATGCTTTTACCATCTCCTTATCAATTCTTCCTGCACAGCCTCTCTCCTGTCCATCTTCTCTGCACTCACATGGCCACCACTCTAAATCAGGACCCTGTCACCTCTTGCCTGGACTGCTAGAATGGTCCTCATGATTACAGTTTCTCCCTTCTCCAATCTATCTGCCACATAGCCACCAACTATTTTTTTTTTTAAGTAAAGCACTGTTCTAACCATGGTCGTTGCCTTGCCCAAAGCCTTCAGTGATTCTCCTTTACTTATAGGATAATAAACAAGCTCCTTAACCTGTTATTTAAGGTTCTCTACAGTTTGGCTCCCTACCTTTCCAACTTTCACATCTCCCCATCATTAACTTTGCATTCCAGTTTGGCTGGAATTCCTTGAACTTGATACTCTGCCTCCTGCCTCTATTCCATGGACAAGCCATTCCTTATGCCTGGAATATGCCCCCTCTGACCTCATGTCAGCCTCTCAGAATCCTTTTCTTCCTTCAAGACTGTCTCAAGGATCATGTCTCTGAAGCCCTTCCTGATTCCCAAGCTACTCGTGCTCTTTCCTGACTTTAATTTTCCTTGTATGTTACTTATTTGTGGAGATGCTGTATTCCCTCATTAGAATATAAACTTCTCAGAGGGCAGGAACTGTTTTGTTTTTGTTTTTGTGTCTCCATTACTTAGTACAGTAACATGTTTCTAGTAAGTGTTTATAAATACTTGTTGAATCATCCTGTATTTCAGCTTCTCCTTAAGCACTTTCTTTTTCAGGCCTAGGATCACTTTACGTTGTTAGATAAAGCAGAAGCAGTTGCATATACCTGCCTTTTTCTTGTGGATTGTTATCTCATCCATTCCAAGCTTGTCCTGTCCATTCTTTGATCTCCCTCTTGCCCCAAACATAGCTTTAAAAACTCTTTTTGGTGTCTTTGCCATTAGTTTTCACCTTCAGCTCATTCTGAGCTTTAGCACTTTTTGGCATTAACCTCAGAGAAGCAGGCTTCTGTTTTGTATTCTTTTGTAATTGTCCCTTGCTTCCTAACCTTTTATACTTGTCTTTTAGTAGTCTAAGTAGGTTAAAGAATTCTGTACATCCACGTTGGTTCCTTAAATTGTTCTCTCTTTTCATTTCTTTGGAATTAGTGTCATTAGAATTTTGTCATTGGGGAGGGGGGCAATTTTCCCTGTGAAATTTTAAGCTCTGAGATCCTGCCTATCTTTTCTCTGAGCCTTTGATATCTGTCCCACAGAGTATAGGGGTTGTCAGACCTGCCTGACTCCTTTCTTGCTCTATCATAAATTCTAAGGGGGAAGAGTGGTTACTTCTCCCCCAGCTTTCCATCATTTGTACTTCGGAACACCCAGTGCCTGTTCTTCTTTGTTAGTCAGAATCTGGTCCATATCACATTCCCATTTGTTTTCTTCTACTTTTTGAAGAATAAAATTACCATGAAGGCCAGCCAAGAATGTGTCAGCTACTCTGCTTTTAGCAGAAAGCTCCAGATGTCTAGATAATTGGAGTTCCCAAACAATATTGTATAAGGCTTCTATGCTAGGTTTGTGATGGTTTTTGAAATATCTATTTCTTTCTTCTGTCCAGGTGGTCCATATTATATACCTAAGACAATATCACTTCTGTTTCTTCCTCCATTGATGTTTACCCAAATGTTCTGTATCATGCTTTCCCTTTCTTTTTTCTTGATTTCATCAATGAGTATAACTTTATGTAGTGCTGCTCCTTCCTACTTTCTTATTTATTCCTTATGAATAAAATATGCCCTTACATATCCATATTTTAGACATGATTTGGGGGGGGGACTATTTTGAAGGAGTACAAGGGTTGAGTCTAAGGTGAAGGTGGGACATCCAGATAGAAGTGTCCAGGAGTCACTTAGAGTTGTGGTCATGGCTAAAGATAGAGATTTGGAATACATTTATATAGAAGTGTTAGTTGAAACTATTCGAATGGCTGCAATTTCTATGGGACAGAGTATAGGGTGAATAGAATAGGAGGCTAAAGTCATTGGGCCCACATTTAAGGGGAAGGAAGTGGAATGAGTGCAGAGCACAAAGGGATGGCCAAAGCAGTCAGAAGATAACTAAGACACTATAATGTGTCAGGAGCCAGGTGAGGAGAGGATGTTTTAATAAAGAGGGAGTGGATGACATCACGGTGTGATGAGACCAAAGCCAGTGGGAAAAGACAATAAGTCATTGGATTTGGCAATATAGAGGCCATTGGTAAGCAGTATGGTGCAGGTGTGGAAAACCAGTGGAGAGAAAACGGAGCAGGGTTCTGAGAGAATAGAGTCAGGAACACAGGTAGAAACTGCACCAACCCCACAGAACTGCTTGTAGGCACTTGACAGTGTGCACCTTTTGGGTTTATCTTTACCTTAGAATGGATTGGAAACCCAGGCTGGCTCCAGTTGTACTTGAGCAGCAGACAGATTTGTTTAACATTTACCCTTTATCCAGCATGATAATTTGATCTCGTCATGTTGCTATCCTGCTGAAAAATCTTCATTGGCTCCCTTCTCTTGAGTAAAATTTAGACTCCTTCATCTGGCTTTCAAGGCATTACACAACCTGGTTCTGTCACATTACTCCCCCTCCCACTTTAAGTTCTAGCTAAACTGGTGGCAGCTAGGTGGCTTAGTGGACAGAGCAATGGGCCTCAAGTCTTCCGGTCTGTGCAACTTTGGACAAATCACTTAACCTCTGTCTGCCTCAGTTTCTTCATCTGAAAAGTGGAGATAATAATAACTCCTACCTTCCAGGGTTGTTGTGAGGGTCAAATGAGACAAATGAGTTATAAAGTGCTTAACGCAGTGGCTTGCACACCGTAGGCGCCATATAAGTGCTGGCTCTTATTATTGTATTATTATTGGTGGTTGCTGTTCCTCAAACAACCCCTGTGCTTGCTTACCTCTGTGCCTTTGTTCACACTGTCCCCTATGCCTAAAATGCCATCCTTCCTTCTCTTCACGTATTAAATTCCTACCCATGCCTTAAAGCCCAACTCAGATACTCAAATACCATCTTTTCATGATGCGTTTTCTGATCTCCCTGCTCCTCTATTCCCTTCTCCCGCAACAGCTTCTCCTTTCTGGTCCTACTTAGAATTTGTTCATGTGTCACTAATGTATTTATTTTTAAACTCTAATTCTAAACACCAAAAAAGGAGTTTTTCCCAACATATGTATAACAGGCTACAGAAAGGGAATTTTAGATGAAATGCTGAATCTTCATACTGCATGTTTCTAACATACTGTAGAAGAATGTAATACTGTATGTTTAGCGGTCCTTGTTTTTATCTTATTTTTCTACTAGACTGTAGCCTTAAGGGGAACAAGAGCTTTCCCAACTTTGTATCTCTTTGTGTCACAGTGTTTCCCACACGGTACTTCCACCTCTGATCCTTACAGTATGGAAATTGAAGTTTTTCCAGGACACCTTTTTTGCCTGCCTCCCAAACAGGAAAGGTTCTTCTGTGTCCCTTCCCCCGGACAGTGTTTGAGAAAATTGTGACTCAGAGTCTGCCACAGGGCCTAGTGAACCCTGAGGTTACGCTGAAGCTCTTTTTCCCCACGGCCTCCATTCAGAGAAGATGAATTATGAAGAGATCCTGGGGAGGCTCCTTAAGAGGTGAAGCTGTGATAGCCTTCCTTCTCTTCCCCTCCCTCTCCCCTTTAATTATGTTTGCTATTGGGAAGTGCTCATGGCTCTCATCTGGAAGATATTTTGGGCCCTTTGAGGTTCCTGATGCTGGCATAGAGATACTTTGCCAGAGGCTGGGTTGGAGGAGAGTATCAGCTATGCAGAAACAGGACTATCTGGGGAAGCTGGGAGCCCAGTTGCCAGGCTTCTGTGCTAAGCCAGTGCCCAGTGCTAGTCTGTAGGGCTGTGCTCTAGATGGGAACAGAAGTCAGGGGGAGTGGGAGGGGGACAAAGGAAGAGGGGAGGGGGGAGGGAAAGGAGAGGGTAGGTTAGGTGCGTAACTGGTGAGGAAGGACTACGTGAGGGGCTCGCCCTGAGTGCCAAGGCCCAGAGTTGTGCCCAACAGTGAAGACACTATTCTCTGTTCCCCCCGCCCAATCTTAATCAATTAGCATGGTAATGGAGACCTTGGAAGAAATCAAGTTGCCAGCTTTTGCATCTCTGACTTTTCATAAGACTCAGACCTGGCTGAGAAGCTCAAACCACTCACCAGACCCCTTCAGGCTGAGCCTGAATTGTTACTGAGGGGTTGAACAGGAAGGATAGGCCCTTCTTATCCATTCCAAGCATGGTAGACTAGCTTTGGCAATGGCTTTATATAGTGATTAATAAAACAAGCCCCTTTTTCCATATGGTGTCAGTTTTAAGTAGGGCTGAAGATTAAGTGCATGTGACTGCCTGGCGTGAGTGAGTTAGGGACAGTGGTAGTAATAGAGATGGTGGAAGAGAAATAGACTCACCTCTTCTTGCTGCAGTTACCGGAGCATCTTCTCTGTTGCCTCCATCTGCAGGTTGCTATGGTTACCTCCTCTGAGTGGGATCCATGGAAGAGATTTTTTTCTAGTTGTGCTCAGATGTTGCCTCTTGATTTGAAAGTGGGACAAAAAGGAGGGCATTCTGCATTGGTGTAGACAGTCAGCAGCCAAGTCAAAACAGAGTCAATTGAGGTGTTGGTAGCGGTGACAGCAGCTTTGTTGGCTGCTGAGGCTGAAGCTGAAGTTGTGAAATGGTGCAGCCCTTCGAAGCGCAGGCTCAGGACCCCTGTCTGCAGGGTCCTAGTGCCAGGGCTTTGCTTCCAGGTATAAGGGATGGTGCCAGAGGAGGAGCCCAGGCGTAGGCAAGCTAGTCATCAAGGTTAACTGAGCACCCAGCTGATTGTTCATTGTCTTATTCTCCAAAATGCTTTTTTGGTAGAAGAGAGGGATGTCATGGCTTCTTTATGTGTATTCCTCTAAGGAGTCCTGGGGCCACCAAAAATGTGTACAGTTGCCAGGGCAAGCACATTGAGCTCAGGGTAGATAGGGAGGAGTTTCCTAGAGGAGGCTGGGCAAACAGGCATATTCCATAGTAAGAAAGGCATGACTGTCAGACCGGGAGGTAAATCTCAGGCCTGGAAATAATAGGACTCCTAAAAGAGGTCCATTAAGAGGTTATATATGGCTTTGTGACCCCTCTGTGGCAGTGGGTCCAGTAGATCCAAGTCCAGGTTCCTTCTCAGCTTATTCAGGGACATATTTGAGAGGCAGTGGGCTGAATGAAGCTGGAGGAAATGGAGAAACCATGGGTTCTGCTTGGGTCTACTACAAGGTGGTTATGTAATCTCCACTGTGTCCTCTGTTCAGCAAGGCCCCCCTTTTACACCTCCTTAATCAACTCTCTATTCCTCTCATCACATAGGCTCTTTAAAAATTTTTCATGCCTCCCCAGGCCTCCCACAGCTCCCTGAGGCTATAGCTGAAATTGTAAAGTGGTATAGTAGCTTGTCTCTCATATCCTCAAAACACCCTCACTTGATCTGTCCATCCCCACTGGTTATCTTCCTACATCTTTCCTCCCTTTTTTGGGCTAAACTCTTTGAGAAGGCTGTCTGCAATAGATACCTCCACTTCTGCTCATTTTCACTGTCTTAACTTTATATAAATAAGACTTTCTATCTCATCATTCAACTGAATCTACTGTTTCCAAAGTTGCTATCTCATAATTGCCAAATATAATGGCCTTTTTTTTTTAAACAACTTTATTGATTTCTTTTTGTATTACTTAGATTTCCTGGTATCCTCTCTCTTCTCCCTTTCTGGAAGCTATCCCTTGCAACAAAGAATTTTTTAAGAAAAAAAAAAGAAAAGAAGGAAAAAATTCAGCCAAATTAATCAGTATGTTGGGGGGAAGAAGCAGATATTATGTATAGTGTATATGTGGAATCTTTCTTTTAATATAAAGTAATTTTAAGAGAAGCCAGATGGCTCAGTCAATAGAGCCCTGGACCTAGAGTCAGGAAGACCTGAGTTCCAGTTTGGCCTCAGATACTTGCTAGCTGTGTGACCCTGGACAAGTCACTAAACCCTGTTTGTCTTAATCCGACAGAGAAGGAAATGACAAACTACTCCAGTATCTTGGCCAAGAAAATCCCATGAACAATATGGTCCTGAAAAGTGGGACACAACTGAATGACTAAACAACAGCAGCAGATTTCCAGAGGAGTTCTAACACTAACAGCTGGGGCTGGGGAGTGGGAGGTGGCACCTGAACTGACCGTGGAAGGAAGCTCAGGGCGTGTTGTAGGAGGCATAGAGGAGGAAGGTGTATACCTGCACCTCTGGGGTTCTGGACTAGGTTCTGGGGTGCTGCTGAGCACAGTGGATAATAGACTGTAAAATGAGAGGCCTCTAAGAATCCAGCTCAGAATCCTAACTTCCTTATTTTCGTCGAGCATATGGCCATTTTTCCTATCCTCCAGGTTGGACACCTTGGAGTCATCCTGGACTCTTCTCTTCCTCTCTCCCACACCAATTAGTAGCCAAGTCTTGTGGCTAGCACTTCCATAAAACCTCTGAAATCTCTCCCCTTCTGTCCACCCACACCGTAGTCGTCGTCATTCAGGCCCTTACCATCTCTCACCTAGACCTTGGCCTCCCTTCATCCAGCCTCTCCCCCTGTTCATTCCATCTTCTGCTTAGCTGCCAAGGTGATATTCCTAATGCATAGGTCTGACCCTGTCAGTCCTCGGGTTTGAGAAGCTTCAGCGACTCATCTGTTTAATCTTTAAAGCTCTAACAGACTGGTTCCAACCCATCCTTTTCAGACTACTTTCCCATTACTTGCTCTCATGTCCTTTTCCATCCAAACTGATGCAGGGCATTTCTATCTCCCATCCCTTCTTTGTACTATGCTTTTAGATTCATGAGCTTCCTTCAAGGCTGAGCTTATGTGCTACCTTCTACATAAGACCTTTCCTGATCTTCTCCCTTATTACTTTGTATTTGTTTTTTACTCGTCTGTATCCATGTTGTAGGAAAACAGGCTTTTCTAGATCAGGGACTTCTGTTTGTTTCTATGTCTATCCAGAATGCAGTACAGTGCTTGACACATTAGAGGTCATTAATATATTTCTTTTGAAATGAATTGAGCCTGTGGCTTCTGGGTGTTGGAATTGTGGTATACACCTTTAGGTGGCTGCTCAGGAGAGCTGGGCTTCTGTTTCTGTAGGTCTTGCCTGCCCTAGAGTCTGGTGCTGGTACCTGTACTGAACCAAGTGTTAAATCATTTTAGCACCAGGGTTGAAGGCACATCTTCTTGGCCTCTGGTGACAGCCAGTGATGGTAGGAGGAGGGGGAGGAGGACCTTGTTCAGACTCACTAGGCAGTGGAGTATCACTGCAGAATCCTGGAGACTCTTAAACACCATTCTTTGTTTCCTCTTCAAGTGAGAATGAGGGCCTAAGATCATAGAATCACAAATTTAGAATTGGAAGGGACCTCGGAGGACGTCTAGTCCAGCCCCCTCATTTTACAGGTGAGAAAACTGCGTTGCAGGGAGTGACTTGCCCCAGGTCATATAGGTGATATGGGTCATATAGTCCAGACCCACTGTCCTTGCCACTTTCTAACCCCAGAGGTGAAGGCTGAAGCCGCTGGGCTTTTTGTGAATGGCTTTTATGGGAAGGCAGGCCAAGAGCTCACAGGGAATGTGTAGCTGAAGGAGTCTGGGGTTGAGCTTTGTGTGAATGTCGGCATTCCCCAAGGCCTCTGCCTGCTGCCATTGATCTGTCGGAAGTGGTGGAGCCCTGGGCAGAGGGCCTGTCCCTTCAAGCTGGCAAGGAAGAGAGTTAGGAAGGCTGTTACTTTAGTCTCCATTTGCTAGTGTTTCTCTCCCAGACAGTTTGGTGGGGTCAAACAGCAATGCCTTTCCAAGCATTTGGTTCCACTTGGTATATGAGGTTTAGGGTTAGTGCCCCTCCTTTCACTCCAGCTTTTCCCTGTGCTGTGTTAGTGCCTGGGCCAACTTGATACAGACTCCTAACCAGTCCTTAGGTGGGGGGAGACCTAATAAACCCTTTTGGCCTGACTGCTTTGGCTGAGCAGAGACCTGGAGGGCAGAGGAGTAGAAAGCATTTTTACTGAGATTTTTTTTAGGGGGAGAGAATACCCATTTTTACAAATTGGTAAACTTTACAAACACTTCTCGACAAATGTGCAACCTCCACCCCAACCCCATTTTCTCGAATACAAGAGGCACATCTGCCTAGAAGGATGGTGCCTGACGGCAGGAGAGTACTTGTCACTTTCAGCTTTTGTAGCTCACCAGCTGTTTACCTGTCGCCAACAAAAAGGAAGGAATAGTTCCTGGGTTACCAGAGTTGTCTCTTGTACTTGACCCCAAGAGTTTTGTTGCCTTTGCTAGTTTTCTTCACATTGACACATTGTGTCCTGCTGCTCTATTAATCCCTAGTTCTTTGTTTCTCTGAGGTCTTCCTCTTTACTCTAAATTTTGAACATTTTCTTCGGCTGGTCCACTCTTGTTGGGCCCAGCTTTTGTTCCCAGCTTTGTGTTATTACAGATGCTACTGCTGTTAGTGTTTTTGTGCAAGGGATATTTCCTATTCTCATTATCCTCCTTGCATATTAACCCTCTGCTGGGATCTCTGGGCCAGAGTCTAAACAGTTTAACAGTAGTTCTTGCACACTTTCAGATAATTTCTTGTGACAACTGGACCAATTCATGAAGCTAATTATCGTGCTTGTGCTCCCACAGAGCCTCTAACATTGCCTTTTGCCTTCATTTACCTTCTTTGACAATTTGGACTTGAGATGATTTTGCAAATTTTTCCAAAAGGTTGATAGTTTGTATTTCTCCTTTTGAAAACTGTTCCTATCTTTTGGCCACTTAAGAGCACTTGCCTTTGGCAATGACAAGACCTGAGACAGACATCCTTCAAAATGTCATTGCTCTCTGCTGGCCTAGGTTGGCACCAGGTTCTGGAAGGGACAGTGATTGTGAGCTTTGCCCATCCCCTTCAGCAGCTAGGGCCCCCAGCTTTTTTCATGCTGAGGAACAGTGAGGGCCTTGCCTTTCCTCCTGGCTCAGGTGAAGATGCAGGGCACTAGGACCCAGAGGCTGGGAAGCTCTCTGACAAGTCTAGAGCCAGACTAGCGCAGAGTGAGGCTGCTCATCAGCTGGGGCTGGCAGCATCCAGGCTCTGGTAGCCAAGGATCTTTCCCCCCTTGTTCTCCCCAGCCTGAGCCTGCTTGCCCCACTCCTTTGAGAGGAGTGGGAGGAATAGGGTTTTTCATGGGCCTGTGGGTTTCTATATGAATCTGGAGGGCCTGGGGTCCCTAATACTCTCAGTCCAGTGTCTGATGGTCTGGGGAGAAATCGGGGAAGGAACCCAGGCAGAAGTATGGCCCAGAGCAAGAGGCATGTGTATAGTCGGGTAAGTGGTGGGCAGGATGAAGGGACTGCCCTCAGCTGAGCCTAGGAACTGGGGGGTAGAGGGGTGGGCTGGGCCACCTGGGCCTGCGCTCTGGTGGGCATTGTTGCTGTGGGGGCTGGGCCATGGGCTGTGACCATCACTCACCTCACAGCTTTGGGGTATTGAAGAGGAGTCCCCATAGCCTAGTTGGTGTGCCTTGTCAGACTCTTCCTGGGTGTCTTCGATATGCTGGAGGCTGTGTCTCTGCCTAGAGTTATACCCTGTATCTTGGCTTTGCTTAGCCTCTGGCTGTCACTGGGCCTCAGGCTGCAGGCTCCTGTGGGGGTTGGGACATCATGGGGGCCCTGAGTCTGGGTGGAATAGACTTACAATGAAGTCTTTCTTCAGAGCTGCTTTGTTGTTCCTTCATCTCTCCCTAGCTTTATCTGAGTTAGGAGAGGGCCTTAGGAGGAGGGTTGACACAGACTTTATATCCTTTTCTACCTGACTTGATCCCCCTTACCTCTGAGGCAATTACCCATCTTTTAGTTCCTACAGTGTATCCTGGGCTACTGTCTTACTATCCACTGGCTTGATCTTTTTGGCATCTGGGGGATCACTGTGTGTGAATTGGGGGGAAAGGATGGTTCTGATTTTATTGTCAGTTTATACCATCAATGGGCTCCTTCAGAAGCCACTGTGTTTTCTTTGGTTCAGGGGCTAGCTGCCTTGGTAAACCATTTCCATCACCACTCAAGGTGACTGTCCACTTAGATAAACTCTCTTGAAGAGAGCTTGGAGGTGGTCCCCTCCTGCAACTCCGCAGGCTGCTTTTTGGGATTTCTCATTGCCATAGGTATCTCTGGGGCCTGGGAGTGGGTACAGACCCAAACAGGCCCTGCTGATCACTTATTTGGCTTATGTCACCCTATAGTACCAGAATTCCCCTGCTGTATTGGGTTGCCCTGTTCTACAGTGTTGTTGCTGAAGCTGGGCCCAGTGTGGTGTGGTATGCCTTCTGGATCCCCATAGGCTAGAGACACTTTCCATCCATTCAGAGTCTGGTTTCCTGTTTCTCTTCTGCTCTCAGTGGTAGCCTGTGTGTGTATAGGTGTATGTGTGTGATCCAGCTTGTATGTGTGTTTCAGGTTATGAGATCCTGAGGGCATCCCCCCCCTTTTTTTTTATTTTTTGCACATTTCTCAGCCCAGCACATATTTACTGGGTTTCCACTAAAGACTTATCTGAGGTGATAACCAGTCCATTACGTCTGTTGTATATGTGTTTAGGTATAGAGGGAAGAATATTTAAGAATATAGGGAAGTGTGGTTTTTTAGCTTTGAGAGGAAATATAGAGCCTCTCCCACACTTTTACTCCTTGGAGGCAGCAGATAGAATGAGGGTGAGCTAAAGTGATAGCAGGGCCTAGGCCAAGTAAAGAGCATATAAGTTGTTCCCTGGAAGTTCAGAATATAGTAAGCATGGGTTTGAGGCTTGAAGAAAGGATAAATATGTAACTGTGAACGAGACAAACCCAAAGGGTCTCTCAAGTACACAGAAGGCAAGTGATTTCACTGGAGTTGGGGTAGTTAGGTAATTGTCAAGATTCACTTCATATTCCCGTGTTTCTGATTAGGGCTATGATTGGGGGGACCCAAGAAATTGCTTGGCTCAGCTTGGGTTGTTTCCTTCCCCCATTTGGGGCAGTACCTGGCAGAAAGCAAGTATGTGGTAATATTAAACATTTTTCAAGCAAATATAAAATTTATTTCTAATTAGATATTGTATTAGAAATTATACATAAGTTCTATAAGTGTTTGGAGATCTCCAGTGGGTAAGGAAGGGAGTCTCTGGGCTTTAGGGTCTGGCCCAGACCTATAAATATAGCTCAGAGTGGGTGACGCACATTCTTCCTTAAATCAGCCCTCAGGTCTCCTGTTAGAATTGGGATTTGGGTCCAGCACATAAGAAATGTGTGATGATGTCTGCCTGTGAAGCAGCTGACTTGGTTTGTGTCTCCCGCAGACACCAAGTGGCAGCAGGATGAGTGCCGAGACAAGCAGCCGACCCCTCCGTGTAGGGTCCCGAGTGGAGGTGATCGGGAAGGGCCACCGTGGTACTGTGGCCTATGTGGGGGCCACACTGTTTGCCACAGGCAAGTGGGTAGGTGTGATCCTTGATGAAGCCAGGGGCAAGAATGACGGGACTGTCCAAGGAAGGAAGTACTTCACGTGTGAGGAGGGGCATGGCATCTTTGTCCGCCAATCACAGGTACTTGTGTCATCACCCACAGGTCTTTTCCCCAAGCCTCTACCTGTAAGGGGGGTGGGCATTGGAAAAAGGGGTATGGGAGAGAATGTCTAGTCATACTTATCACAGGAAGGGCCCTATGGCTTTAAGGATAACAAGGGCTATCTGTGCCCCAGACTTTTTGGGTAACAAGGGGCTGAATGTGGGGAGCCATCTCAGTTATTTCTGTTTGAGAGATTTGTGTCTGTTCCATGGCCTCAGATCCAGGTGTTTGAAGATGGAGCAGATACCACATCCCCAGAGACACCAGATTCCTCAGCCTCAAAAGTTCTCAAGAGAGGTATAGATCTCCTGGCTACTGTCTCCCTTTCCTCCGTGTCCTAGCTTCTTCCTCCTTATCTGCCCACTTCATTCCCACATCCCAGCTTCTTATGGCTGCCTCCTTGTAGCCAAGGATCACCAGGTCTTCCTCACTAGTGTTAGGGTTATCATGGGCCTTGGAGCCCTATTTCATAGCTGGTCTCAGCCCTTCACCCAATTCTTGTGGCTAATTCCTTTTACTTCCACCCTTTTCTCTTTCCCATTCTTTTTGCAGAAGCAACTGACCCAGCTGCCAAGGCCAGCAAACTGGTGAGTTGCTTGATGGAGCTTGGCTGAAGGGTGAACCTGGTGGGGATGGGGATTGGGGGGGGATGGGAGGGCCAGGGCCTGAGGAGCATGGAACTGCTTACCTTTTGGTTTCTAGATGTACATTGTAAGGGTACCCAGAGGGAATCAGAATCAGTCTTGGGGACTGGAAGAAGCTTGTCTAGGGGGTTAGGGATGAGTTGATCAAAAGTTTCTACTACTAGACAGGTTTTCACTACCTTCTAGTATATTCAGAAGAAAAAGCTGGATTGGGAAAGCCTTGATGAAGCTTGAGGGGGAGGGGGGATCAGTAGGTTGTTTGACCTAGGCAGTGTGGCTCCCTATGTTGTTAGCACAAGCACACTAGAAGTGGTTTGTGAGAGGCTGGGGCTGGACACTGGTGATCAAGGGATGGGGGTGGGGCTCCTCTGTTTATTAGGGAATTTGCTTCCAGTTGTTACAGTGGGTGAGAAGGACTTACATTGAGGGAGAAGGGAGCCTTTAGCTCATCTCCTCCAAGATGATGTCAGTTGGGGAGGTGTAATAGACTTTCATTGCCTCCTAGCAGAGGAGGCAGGGCTTGGAGGCACCTGTCCTTTCAGAAGGAAATGCAGGGGTCAGGGGAAGCATTAACCACCCCCAGATCCTTCCTGCAGTCACCTGTCACCTGCCTCTCAGCATCCCTGGGCTGCTGTAGACCCTTAGGGCTTGAATGTGGCCTCTGTGGATTATTTGATCTCTAACTCTATCCTTTGCTGACCCCCTTCTCATGCAGCGAGGATTGAAGCCTAAGAAGGTGGTGTGTCTCCTTGTTGTGTGTCAGTGGGAGGGAGGAGGCTGGCATCATGCCTCCCTCTCTACCCATCCTGCTCTTCTGCATGTCCTCTTGATGCTGCATGCTTGTGCATATTTTCTTGGGCCCTCGATGACCAGAGGAAAGGGCAGCCTTGATCCTCCCAGGGCTCAGCTTTACTAGGCTTCAGGTGGTTTTAACTGTAGGCCTCCCCTTTCTTCCAGCCAGTAATAGAATGCTTAGAGGAGACATGGTCTTAGCAGAAGCTCCACAGCCTTGGGTGAGATGAAGGGTTGTCACTTAAGCTGTGATTCAGGCATAAAGTAGCCTCAGTCAGCCCTGACTTGGTAGCATAAGAAGGATAGTTGGGTAGAGAGATAAAATTAAAAAACACAGGAGGAGCTGCCCCTGAGCTAGAGGACCCTGGAATATACGCTCATAAAGGGTTGACTAGATATCACCCTGAGGTTCTGTCTCCTTCCCTACCAGCTCTTCTTCCTAGAGTTAGGCCAGTCCTATCTTTGCAACTGTCCTATCCCTATCCCTTCTAGAAACTTTTAGGGCTGTGCCATTTCCCTGGTGTCTGTCTCATAGAAGACATAGTCCTAGTCATGTCTACCATTAATAGTCACTGGGGCTGTGCTGAGCTAGGAATCTTTGGGAAATGTAATCCTTTTGCTTTCCAGTCTCTTGGCCCAGCCTTCACCTCCCCAAGGCCTACTTTGGTCCTTTGCCCTGTCTGCTTTTGGCCTGCATGCGCTTGTCCGTAAGTCCCATGTGTGCTGTGTTGTGATTTCCTTGCCTGATCACCTTGGGACACACTAATGCTGCATGAGGGTCTTGCTTTGAGCCCTTGGAACTACTTGCTGGGGGGAAGGGGCTTGCTTTGAAGGGTGGTCATGGTATACAGTGTGCTGGATTCCTGGTTTAGGGATCTGCAATTGCAACTTCTCTCCTCTGTGACTTTATCCCAGCTGGGCTCTATTCCATCTCACTGCAGGGACCTTGAACTGAGCAAAGAAGGGGAACAACACCTCTCGTTTGTCTTCCCCAAACCTGGGGAAAGGAGGTGGCTTCTCTCTAGAAGTAGCCTAGGGCTTCTGAGGAAAATGAGGGTCCCTTTCCCTGCTTCAGGCCAGGGGGATTCAATGGGAGCGATTGGAAGCATGGTGGGGTGCCTCTTCTGCCAAAATTTCTTCTTAAGCCCCTCAAAGCCCTGGGTAAAAGGATGGGAGTTACCCATGGAGGACATTATCATGGAGATTAATTAAGTTTGCTGTTTTTGCAGGATGTCCTTTGTGCCTGTCCTAGTTGGGTGAAGGGTGGGAGGAAGTGATCTCTTTGTGGATGGGGGAATTTTAATCTCCTTAATTAATTGTGTATCATAGGAACTAGTGTTCTTGGGACCCTGAAGGGAGGGGGGCTTTGAATGTATATGTTTGTGTATGAAAGAGAGACACAAAGAGGAGGAGGGGAGGACACTGTTCCTGGGTGGGGCAGGGAAAGTGGTGGGAAACGCTGTGTATATGTGAGAAAAACCGAGGCTCTGTGTGCACCACAAACAAAGGAGGGAAGAATGTGTGCATGGACATGGGAGTGCAAGAGGGGTGACGCTAAAAAACAGGAGGGAAGATTGTGAGAGACACACACAGAGGGAGAGGATGGTATGTGTTTGTGATTCACAGAAGGGGAGACTATGTATATAATGACAGAGACAGATGTAGAGGGAGACTTTGTATGTGTGACACAGGAGGGGAAACTGTGTGTGTGTGTGTGAGTGTGTGTGACAGAGACAGAGATGGGGAGGGGTCGAGGAGGACAGACAGAGACCAAGAGACACATGATACACAGTGAAGATAAGACTGTAATGAGATAGAGACAGACACACAAAGAAGAGGGAAGACTGGAATGTGTAAGTGGCAGATGGAGATAACTGTGATGGAGGCATGTCAGTCTCCTTCTGTAGCCTCTTCTATCCTAAGAGCCCTGGCCCTCCAGCCCCTAAGGGAAAGACTCCTTCCCAGCTCTTGTCCTCCATCTGTGACTGAATCCTGAGGGTTATGATCTTGTAGGGATGGGCGGTCCAGAGGGAGGAGCCTCGGGAGTACTGGGTGTTGCTAGGTGACTGAGGAGCCATCTCCCTCCCCCACCCCCACCCGAGTCTTGGAGGGCGGGTCCGATGACATCACGAGGAGCTGGAATCCAGGGCTGGGTGCAGCTGGTCAGAAGCTGAGATCGTGGGATCTGGATTTACCTAGGATGGAGAGCTGGGCCAGGCTCTACTCCTGATCTCTGCACAGAGCTGCAAAAGGACAGGGTGGGGGTGGGGGTGGGCCTTGGGGCCATGGAGCCCTAGAGTTTGTAGCTATTTGGAGGCTGCACAGCAACTGGGGCTGGGAAGATGAGGCTGCATTGTTGGAATTTGATGCGCTAACCTCCTCTTTCCGCTGGTCCCCTTCTGCCCGGCCTGCCTCTCTCACTCCCCCCCACCCCCCCATTCTCCATCCTCCCACCATCTCTCTGTCCTTTCTCCGGCCATCTTTCCTCGCTCCCTCTTCCTACCCCTGATTCCTCAATCCCTCTGTCTGTTTCTGTGTCTCTGTCTTTGGTTTTCTGCAATGATGAGACAGGCACCGACCACCCGAAAGGTACTCACTCCCTCTCCCACTGGCCCTGGCCTTGGGTACTGTGGTTACCTAGGGGTCGGCATTGCTGCTGCTGCTGCTACTGCTGTTGCTGCTGCTGCCGCCGCTCGCCGCCACCACCACCACCGCTGCTGCAAGTTACTGGCTCCGTCAGCCTGCCATGGGGAGGGGAGGTTTTTGGGGAGAAAGGGGGGGGATTGGGCATCACCTGTCACCTCCATTTTCAGCTGGCTTTGGCTTTCATTGGGCTTTGTGAATCTGTGTGTCCTGGGGGTTGTTGTCCTTCATGAGTGTATGGGGCTGGGCATCAGTCTAGGGGCTGCTGTTGCTGTTGCTATTGCTGTTTGCTTTAAGAAAGTTGCCTGTGATGGGGGAGCCTAGGTAGGGGACTGCTTTAGGCCTTCTATAGGAGCTTGCTTGGGTTAGATTCTTACCCTGGATGTTATAATTGGCTTTAGGGGCTTCCTTCTTTCTTCCAGTTGCCAATTTTAGTGGGGGTGCTGCCTTGCTTGACGAGGGAGATGAGGTTCTTGTTCATCCTCTGTGACCCTGAATTGTAGAAATTGGGGGATAGTCAGAAAGAAGTGCTTCTTTGGCTCTAGAGGCCCTTAGGAACAGGCTTCTAGCTGGGGTCTAATCTGGGGTGGGGGGAGAGTAGAGACACTTACGGAAAGAAAGAATTTGGAAATAGAATTGTCATATGCCACCCTCCTGGTGAGATTTGGGTTTAATATTTAATCTTCCATTTCTAATGATTGGGTTTGGTTTAGGGGAAGAGCCCCTTTACATATACTCCGTTTTCTCTTTACCTTCTCCTTCTTTCCCCATCTGTTTCCCCCTCCCTCCTAAATTCTGCAGTTGAGGCCACCTTGCTGAGCTCAGGGCTTCTGGCTAATTTAATATTTATGGTCTTGATACCTGAGCCCTCTGTGTTGGGGGGGGTTTGATGGGACCTTGAGGGGGCAGGTTGTTCTGCTCTAGTCACTAGAGACCCTGAGACAAATATCCCAGGGCCGTACCTCAGCAGACCTAATTTCTAGAGGGCCTCTCCGGCCCCTGACCCCTGTAGCTTGGCAAAAGGAAGAGAAGGACACTGGTAGGCTCCAAGATCTGTGGCTAGAGTCAGAGAGGAGTTGGTCTCCATTACTGAGGGCAAGTACAGATAGCTAGGTCTTCGGGGACCTGGTTGGCCTCTGAGGCCTCCTTCACCACCTGCTGCCTCTGTTCCCCTGTGGCTGGATGAGGTTACTGAGGAAACCGGGTCCTTTAGAGAAAACCAGCTGGCCAGAGCTGGGGCTCCTTGGTCTGCCGTGTTGGGAGAGGGGAGGACTTGGAACACATCTGGGGACCGAGGGGGAAGGCGGTATTCCTTGGGGGAGGAGCAGGGAGAGGGGAGTTGGTCATCTAACAGAGGCCCTGTCCCTGTTTCCTCTCCACTCTCTTCACTGTTCCTGCCGCTGTCTGTCTCTGCTCCTGTCTCTTGCTCTCCTGAATATCTCTTCTCCTCTGGCTCTGCCTCCTGTTTCCTGGCCAGACTACCACCCGCCGGCCCAAGGTGAGAGAGA